TTAATTTTATAAATCTTATATATTAATCTGTTATAAATCTGTTTTAAAATATAATTCTTGCTTAATTAATGAATTAAAATTGATAAAGAGTTATTATTTCTTGTTTTAAAACCAATAACAGTTCAATTTGATATGTTATTTGACATTAAAGTATTTGCCACAATAATTATTATCGACTTCTGGTGTGATGACTACTAATCCAGTTTTTCCAGACAAATATTTTTAATTTTATAAATCTTATATATTAATCTGTTATAAATCTGTTTTAAAATATAATTCTTGCTTAATTAATGAATTAAAATTGATAAAGAGTTATTATTTCTTGTTTTAAAACCAATAACAGTTCAATGCTGTAATTAATTAATTTATAAATAAAGTTTAAACTTTTACCAAATTATACTATTTTTGTTTAAATCATAACGCATTATAATAATGCATAGAGTCTTCATAGACTGGAAAACTGGATTAGTAGTGATCACAATAAATATAGATAATAATTGTTCTAACAAATATTTTAAAGTCAAATAACATATCAAATGAAAGCCTGATATATAGGCTACAGTTTGGTGGTGTTTTCAGTGTATTAAATACAATACTTTTTTCAAAAATTACTTTCAAAATCGTTGCAAAATATCTGACTCAAACTGTATAAGTATTTTGCTGTAGAACTGAAAATATATTTATTATACTCTACTGTAAGTCGGTATAATATACTACAGTATTCTGTATTATATTAAATAAAACAGCTTGCTGTCGATAAATACAAGGTTTAATTTATATTTTATATATAAATAATTGGTCGTAGATGTATATTTATATATATTTGAACGTGAGGTTTCTATAGTCGGCTAACTATAGTAAGTGCCACTCATTGTATCAGCACGTATTGTATTTAGCATTTCAAACATAATTTATAATATTTAATTATGAATAAAATATTTCTATAATAATTATATAATATAAATGCTAATTGAGTATACTTATTAAATTATAATTATCAATTATATTTATAAAACTTATATTACAGTTTTTCCAACAACTAATTGTAAGTAACAATAAAATTTACTGTTTAACTCACAAATCTCAATCAACTAATTGTAAGCAATAACTTATTTGGGATTTAGCCGGTTGTTGAATATTGTCGTTCATTTATTATACTCTACTGTAAGTCAATATAAACAAGAAATTAATTAAAACAAAAAACTATTATGAAGTCTAGTGTGTTATGTTATATTGAGTTGTGTGTAACAAAAATAAAACAATCCAGTTTGTTTTTGAGTTAAATTCAAAATTTCATTACCAGATGCTATTAAATAAATAATTAGCAGTTTATTATAAATTCAGATTTATTAATGTTTAATTTTTTTGAACATTTTAAACTAAATGTAAATTTCTGTTTTACAAAATAATCTTAAAAATTATATTATGAAATAAAGTAAACTAATTGTTTATAATGCATTATTTTACTAAAATTCAGAATTAAATACATTAATTAGCCAGATGGTGTAATATAGTATAATTATTTTATGTAATTGTGAGTTCATTACAGTTTGTTGTTTGAAAAGAAATCTCTTTATAGCATACAATCATTCATATGATAAATGACAAACCAATAGTGATTAAATATAAAAATGTAAAAAATGTTCAATAAATAAGACCTAGAACCGTTTTGAGTTGAGTAATATTGCAGCGAAAATGCTAACGACTACTGAGATGTACGATGTTTTGGGTGAATACGAGTGCGAACACTGACGGGTAGTATACTCGCGACACGTGACCGACGCGTCCCACTTCCGGGGACCCATCAATATGTCTACGGCTGTAGTGGATGGCATACGGCATATATCCTCCACCACCCGACCCAAACATTCACGGTATTGCACCAGTCCACTTGTACAACAAATAAACAAATTAAATATACGAAAATGATTTCTTAAAAAAGTGTTTTTTAATTAACAAATGATCGTTTGGGTGCAGAAAAGAGTTATGTATTTTTCAATGAAAACTGTATCCATAACATAATTATTGTATTCATTGAATGAAATGTACTATTTGATACTACTAATCCAATGATTATGTTATGTATACAGTTAGTAACAAAAATACATAACTCTTTGCTGCACCCAAACGATCAAATTGATTTGACTTATAAGTTATAACTAAGTGACCATGCTATATTTTTTTGCATAATTTTAGTTGGTATATAATTTTTAATAATATTCCTTTACAGTATTAAAAATCTATAATTTATATACATAATCTACTATTTACTATAATTAAGAATAGGTATTTTATTTAATAAATAGTGGTAACATAGTTTTATTATAAATTATAACTTTGGAGCAAAGCCTTAATATTACCCTGAACACTTATTAATTATTTAGATTTTAAACTTATGTGTATATGTGAAGCATTACTACAAATATACAAATTATTTTAGTTATTAAAAGTTTATTCATTTTGTACATAAAATATTAATATATTAAAATTGAATCATTGAATTGTTTAAATGTATAAAATCAGTATTTTTCATAAACTTTTATAAACTGATTATTTGTATTAATTTATTTTTCATTATAAAATGAATAAACTTCAAAACCTTGAATGATTAATTTATTTGTGTTACAACATTCATACTTATATGAGTAAATTGTCTATATATCTAATGGATAAAATTAAGGTTATAATTTATAATAAAACTATGTTAACACTATTTATTAAATAAAATACCTATTCTTAACTATAATATATTTTATATTTGTATTATTTGTAAAATATTATTTGTATTTTAAGATATTGCCATGTCACTTAAAATAGCAATATTATATTGAACATGTATTAATAATTAAAAATTAATCAATAATAACACTAACCAGCACATTCTGCGTTGAACATCAGTATACCGACTACTATCCCTGACATCCCGTTGCCTCTGGAGTAGTATATCCTCGCAATTACGTACATAAAAGCCGGACTTCTCGGCGCACTGGTAGTCGGAGTCGTATCGACTATCATAATTACCCCGCTGATAGCCCCACTGGTTATCGCCATACCTGTCCCCCGTGGGTCGACTCACATCGCACGTCCAGCTCAGCTCCGAGGCCTTGTCGATGAGGTAAGTGGCCGTCTGTTGCGAGTCGTGCGGATAACACGACTGTTGGACTATACGAGTGACACAATCGCGGAACTCCTGGTAATTACGACACGTGGAGCCCGTGGCTGAGGGGGCGTTGTAGTGAAACCCATACCTGGCCTCACACTCCCGCACCTCTGGCCTCTGGAAACAGGCCGTGTGTTTCCAACCTAACCGTCCATTATTGTGGTTTAAGTATGAGTTTTTAAATAGTGAGAGAATTTCAAAATAAAAACTTTTTAAACTCGTTAAGTGATCAGGAACATTTTTATAAAATAGAAAATAGAAATCATTTTGATTTTAACAAATAAATAAAATCAATAAAATATAATTCTACTGATTAAATATTGGATCATTAAAAAACTTATCATTTTAACTACTAGTCCCCGGTTACTTTGAATATTTTAAAAAATATATTGCTTAAAATTCTTTTCACTATTATATATTATTAGTAAGCTAATAAATTATTAAGTACTAGGTAATTAATAATAAATTAAATCTCTGGACCATTTAACAAGTACTGTTGCAACAGGATAAATAATCCCATGTTACTATTTTAATAAAGGATAAATTTATTTTATCTAGACCCTTTCGGGTACGTACTTATTAAATCACCCAGTTCAAGTGTGCCCATACTACCTCCACCATCCCTTTCGCAATAGCTCTCCAGTATATTTCTGCCACGAATTATGATATCCCGGGCGTAGTTCCGTTGGTAGTCATTGCTATTGACGCTCACATAACTACCCGACCCGTAGGACCCATACAACGACCCACTATTGGACATACATAGCGGTGTATACGTCAGTAGACAGTCCAGACTATTGCGAACGGCGCTGTAATATAAAATGTTATATTAGATTTGATATACAATAATAAAAATTATATTTTATTTTATTTTGTCTGTAATATTAAGTAAAGCAAAAAAGTTTACGATCGATATACGGTATATATGGTATATACTAATAGATACTGTACTTATGTTTTAAGCCTATTATATAAATAGATTGCATTTACTGTATATTACATATTGAACAGTTTGTCAAAGTAAAGCTAATGACTGTATGTTATACTGTAATAGTATATTAATAAAAATGTTGATGTCAATTAGTTGCTACTAATAAATATTTATTATTTGATATATTATGAAGTATCATGACATGGTAAGATAATTAAAAATAATTTTAGCCATAATATACATACTTGCATCGGGACTGTATTTCACCGGTATTCACTGTCCGGTAGTTGCTTACTTGACCACTATATGGGGCACCGGACTGGCTGTCCCTAAGCACCTGTATGCTAGTCTGTATGTCCGACTGGCAGAGTTGGTAGCGGTTGTAGTCGCAGCTGTATTGAGTATACTGTTGACCATTGATTGGCGAAAGTGCTAGTTCAATTTAAAGAGTTATATTAAAATAGTTAGTTGCTTGTTATTAATTAAAATGAATTTAAGTTTAATTAGTATTTAATAAATTACTATAACAATTAAGTTTAAAATATAGATTACTAGTATAAAGATTTTTAAATAATTTATTTATTTTTATTCAAAAAAAAAGTTTTAGTTAATTAAAAAGTATTTTTAAATATATTTTACCAAATAGTATAAAAGTAGCAATTATTATAAAATACTTATTAAATTTTATTAATGCAAACTTCATGATAAAAAAATCTTTTTGTTAATCACTAGTAACAAAAACTTTTCAAAACAAGTTTTAAAACAATAACTAGTTAATAAATAATAATTTCATAAACAATTATAGCATACAATTCGTGATTTGATTTTACTTTTACTATACATTTATACTATAAATCTCAATAAAAAGCTATAAATTCTCGACTAATACTAAAAATAAGTTTTTTTACAACAAAAGTCAAACTAAATCTAAACAAGGCTTAAGTGTTGTCAACACAAACACTGGTCTCCCCCTTAACGACAGTTCTCAATCGTACGGACGATTCACATATTAAAGCAAAAAATCATTTTGTTTTGTATTATACTTTAGTTTATCAATAATAGCCTCCCATTCACTACAGTATTCTGTATTATATTAAATGAAATTGCTTTCTG